TTCATCATCCATCCATCTATCCTCCCTCCATCCATCCATCCTCCTATTCATCCATCCATCCATCCTGGTACCCACACATTCATCCATTCAAACATCCACCCATCCTTCCATTCATCATCCATCCATCTATCCTCCCTCCATCCATCCATCCTCCTATTCATCCATCCATCCATCCTCCTATTCACCCACCTTCCCATCCATCCATCCATCCATCCTGTCATCCACCCATTCATCCCTCCCTCCCTCCCTCCCTCCCTCCTCCATCCATCCATCCTCCATCCATCCATCCTGTCATCCACCCATTCATCCCTCCCTCCCTCCCTCCCTCCCTCCTCCATCCATCCATCCTCCATCCATCCATCCTGTCATCCACCCATTCATCCCTCCCTCCCTCCCTCCCTCCCTCCTCCATCCATCCATCCTCCATCCATCCATCCTGTCATCCACCCATTCATCCCTCCCTCCCTCCCTCCCTCCCTCCTCCATCCATCCATCCTCCATCCATCCATCCTGTCATCCACCCATTCATCCCTCCCTCCCTCCCTCCCTCCCTCCTCCATCCATCCATCCTCCATCCATCCATCCTGTCATCCACCCATTCATCCCTCCCTCCCTCCCTCCCTCCCTCCTCCATCCATCCATCCTCCATCCATCCATCCTGTCATCCACCCATTCATCCCTCCCTCCCTCCCTCCCTCCCTCCTCCATCCATCCATCCTCCATCCATCCATCCTGTCATCCACCCATTCATCCATCCTCCTATTCATCCATCCATCCATCCATCCTGTTACCCACACATTCATCCATTCAAACATCCACCCATCCTTCCATTCATCATCCATCCATCCTCCCTCCATCCATCCACCCATCCACCCATCCATCCATCCATCCATCCATCCTGTCATCCACCCATTCATCCATCCTCCTATTCATCCATCCATCCATCCATCCTGTTACCCACACATTCATCCATTCAAACATCCACCCATCCTTCCATTCATCATCCATCCATCCTCCCTCCATCCATCCACCCATCCACCCATCCATCCATCCATCCATCCATCCTGTCATCCACCCATTCATCCATCCATCCCTCCCTCCCTCCATCATCCAACCATCCATCCATCCATCCATCCATCCATCCTGTCATCCATCCATCCATCCATCCATCCTGTTACCCACACATTCATCCATTCAAACATCCACCCATCCTTCCATTCATCATCCATCCATCCACCCACCCATTCATCCATCTTCCTATTCACCCACCTTCCCATCCATCCGTCATCCATCCATCCATCCACCACCCATCCATCCATCTACTCATGCTGCCTACCGTCCATTTATCCCATCCATCTTGTACGCTCATCCTCTCCTCTTTCCATCATACACACATCTGGAAATAACCTGGGTCTCAGGGCAGAGTGATGGAGCTGGGATCTCAGCTGTACCACTGATGGAATGCCTCATCTATCAGATCATCCTGGTAGAGCTCTGCTGAGGTAAAGATGCACTTTCCTGACCAAACAGGAGGTCTTGAGCTGCAAGCTGGCTCAGCCAGAGTCTATGAGCTCATGTGGGAGGACAGACCATGTGCTGATCATGAAGCCAGAGAGAACCCCAGCTGGGCTGCAGCACTGCTCTGTGTGGTCCCCTTCTATCCCTGTGCCTAGGTTCTTTTTGTCCTTGGGACCCACCCTGACCTTTCAGAAATCCTGTTCTTTGCTGAGCTTAGCACTGGCTTCTGTCGCTCACTGCTGGGCTGAGCTGTTCCTTCCAGGAGCCTCTCTATTGATGCTGAGGAGTTTACAACTTACAATGGAGTCAGGGAAATGGATGACATGCAACTAGCATGCAGAGATATCACGGGGTCAAGTGTCTGTGACAGGGGAGGTGGGCTCTGGGAAGGAGGAGGTGGGTGGTAGGGGAAGGCTAGGAGCAGAGAGGATGTTGGAGAAATTGTTTCTACTCAGGAATTTATAAGGAAATGGGCCAGAACTAGCCAAGAAAGTTATCCCACCACACGGGCTGGTTCCTGAGGCTGAACATGCTTGCACACGAAGGACACTGGCAGGGGTAGCCCACTATCCAGCCCACCCACCCAAGAGGCTCTTGAGGGGCCCAGTGTTCTGGGTGACTGGTGTGCCAGTTGGCTCATGTGAGTCCAGCCTTGTCCCAGCCAAGCAGGAAACAGCATGTGGGATGACAGCTCTGGAGATTCTCCGGTGGAATGGGGCTGGACACCCTTCCAGCCTGGCAGGTCTGGGCGGTCTCAGAACTGCCTTGGAGCTGGAATGGGGAGGTGTGTGGGCTCTGTTCTGGGGTCCCATGTCCCTGGTGACTGGCAACAGGATGTGTGAGAGTGTGGCTTAATACCCCAGGCTGCCAGAAAAGAAGCTGTCCAGCAGGTCCCCACACTTCTGGGGCCACGTGGCCACTGGAGGCCTCCCTGTCATGTGAGGAAGAGTCTGGACGTGAGGAAGAGCCAGCAAGCAAGCCTGTATGTGCCTCCAGTGGGTGAACACATCCAGGGGGCTTGCAGACCTTAGCAGCACCTGAGCTTAAATAAACATTTCACTTGTACGCTGACAGTGGCACAGGAGAGCGATTTTAATACAGAACACCAAGGGAAACACGGACTGCTGCCTTCCCCATTAACCCTTTTTATTGATAACGAGTATCTGTCTTCATCTTTACCTCTAGACTTAAACAGAATCTGTGTCCTCCTCTTCCCTCCCTCCCTCCCTCCCTCCCTCTACTCCTCTTTCTCCCCTTCTCCTCCCTCCTTTCTTCCTCCTCCCTTTCTCCTTCCTCCCCTTTCCCTTCCCTCCCTCCCTTCCTCCCTCCCTTTCTCCCTCCCTCCTTCCCTTCCTCCCCCCTTCCTTCCCTTCCTCCCTTCCTCCCTCCCTCCTCTTTCCTTCCTCCCTCCCTCCTTTCTTTTCTTCCTCCTTCACTCGCTC